GCTGGAAAAACTGACCTAAGCGGAGAGTAGTAGTGGCGCAACAATAACAATAAGCCTAGTCGTTAATTCGAAATATTTAGTAGACATATCTGTATGTATGTATGTATGTATGTACATATAAATATGTGATATCGAAGCAAAACATCGATATTTTCGATGCATCGATGTTTTTCCGACATCCCTACTTATGTGAACATGGAGGTGTACTTGCATGTAACCAAATCCATAATTATTATTTCACTCACGTCCTAATCACAAATTTGTTTTTGGGTTTTCACATAGTTTAGATTACAGGTTAATACTCGTTGCACTGCTATAAAACCTATACAAATAGGTAGGGGTTTTGTTATCTATCTTTTCCTGGTATAATAATGATTTGCTGATAGCTATTGCAGTGCTGCTTAGTCATTTTTATCAGCAAAAGACATGAATATACCGTATTTTATGACTTTGTCTAGTTATTAAAAGTTTAATGACACTATCTGTAGATATAGATTTCTTGGCGGCGGTTTAGTAAAGTATATATATTTTTTTTTTTGTATCATAAAATAAAAGTGGATTAGCGTTTTTGAAAGCCCCAAATAGTAAAGTTCTTCTTAACGCCCCCTCGATAGTCGCTTCAACGCAACCGGAACAACCCAAGATTTACCTAAAGCTCTTCCTCGTACTAGTACCTACATACAAATGTATGTATATACATAGTGCATGCAATCATGTACCAAAACATTGTCATTATTATTCTTTTTTTTTACCTCTTTGAAAGTATTCGCCAATATAGCAATCAAATTCGATTTATACTCATATTTTATAACAGCCAAAATATTATCAAAATGTCGACAAATTATCACCAAGCAATCAACCAGCACCGCAATCTGAAGTAATTGTTCATCGTCCAAAGGGCCCTGAAAGATAGGACGCAACAAGATATGCCTTAACTTACGAATTCTTATCAAATATATATATGTAGGTATTTATAGGATTTTTTTACATGTACGCACATTTTCGCTAGCATCGCGCGCGATTATAATAAATTTTCCAATAGCTGGTAACAACTCATCCGGTAGACGTCCCAGATGTGGACCATTATCCGGACGCACTTCATGCCACAGCGGCAGATCATCACTCGTAAAATCCACCGGCAATTGGCTCTTCCAGATGTTTACAAAACGTTGAATGAATTCACGAAAATAGGACTCGTCATTCTGTTATTAATGCAAAACAAAGAAGACCAAAATATAAATAAACACAAAAATTTAAAACATAAATTGGGTAGAAAGAGCGATCTAAAGAGAGCACAATTAGCGTTAAATGAGCGTATGCGGCGATTCCAGAGAGCAACGCAACGTTTATTTATTTTGTGGGTGGGTTGGCGGCCGCATTGTAATGCAGCTTGAGCCTCAGATTTCGTTGGTGGTGGGCCGCCGGGTGGTTTTTTGTTATCAGTATGTAAATTATGTTTATCTACAATGCGCAATGTTATATAAGCTTATGGCCTTCTAAGAAAAAAAGTAATGATAATAAATAGATAAAACCTTGTGTTTAACCAACGTCTATTCAATTATGGTTATCGTCTAACCGCAATCCCCGCTCAGGGAATGTTAATTTTTTGCGCTTTTTTTATTTTATATGTGCAGTGTTTATTATTTGACAGAACTTTGCGTAGGAGAGCAGCGATGTGACGGCCAATGGTATTCCCCATTCACCTTCTATGGAATTATGGATGATTAATGCTTCAAACACGCCCATAAAATAATTGCGGTTTTCTGTAATTTCGAGGGGCACCAAAAGGTGACAAACTTAACGCTATTTGTGCTTTCCAATAAGCCGCAATTAATTTTTGCAGTTTTTATGCGTTTTATGTTTTTTTTTCAGTACTCGCCTTGGTCGTGTACTGCACCCACAAATTGTAGATATCCTTTTTACTTTCCATTATGCGACACTTTTCACGGAATTTTAGTTGCACTCATTCAATAGAGTTTGCTTTAAACATTTGCTTTTATTTGTTTACAAAACTACACGAATAATACACAAATTTTTTCTTTTCACCGGAAAAAATCGCAGCCACGGAACAAATGCATTTGAAGAAATGTAAATTCACCACAGCTGACAACAAGCATATGTCAAATGGGATAGGAGCAGTGTTGGAACTTGGCGCACGCGGTGAAGTTACTCCTAAAATCAAGGGTCGGCAAATGGCAGGCTACTCTAGCTACCACAGGGTGACGACCTGTCGTTGGAAGTATACAGCTTCCTCTCCGTTTTTTTTTGTGCTACGCAACGGCACCCTTTTTCACCCCCTACAGCAAGCCTAGGGGCAAACACAAACAAACGTTATTGACAATATAGATGCAAAATGTTCGGCTGGTTTAAATTAGGCTGGGCTTGTTTGGGGCCAACGCTGGCAAGTAGGACATAACGAACAAAGTTTCCGACTTTTCAGAATACCGCCTGCCGAACAGCATTGGGGTGCATTCTGATGTCGATTTTACGCCATCAACTTGCAAAAATGCAATTTTATACGCAATTTCTGCTCATCTCTAAGCCGAGAACATGCTAACAGAGACTTGCTAGTCACCTCCTAGGCACGTTAGAAGGAATCTGTAGAGATCTTTCAAATTCAGAGATCTAAATCGCACGACTACTGAACCCGAAATTCTATAGACAAGCCAAAAAAGATATTCACCGAAAGACAATCTTTATTAACTCACGCCCCGTGAATTCCGTCATTAGTTTTAACCATCATCCGTCCCAGACAAAGAGCTTCTGCTACCACGTAAATCTGGTGGAACTAATATCTGGATATCGTAGCAGGTCTAACTTTTATTTATCCAGATCCAACTTTGTCCAGTTTGTGTGTCCATCCACCTCATCATTTGCCCTCTGCAACCTTGTCAGGTAACAACATCTTTGCTCTCGGTATGGGTAAAATTTGTGTTAACCCAGCAGACAATTTTTAATTTTTCATAACTGTCTACAACTTTTGCATAATTTTAGGCATATGCACTACAGCAGTATATTGCTAAAAAGCAACACGTTACTCCTAAACCAAGACGAATTCAGAAGTATCCCAAATGAAAACAAATCTAATAAGCTTTTCTAACAATGCTGTTCGTTGACAAATGTATATTGTTCGGGATCATTCGGAAGCAGTTATGGATTTTCCGGGGCCATTTCTGAACTAGTTTGGGCTTAGTTCAGTATTTTTTCGGGTCTATTTGGGATTAGTCCGGAACTTCTTCGGGACATAGATGCTTCCATATAAAATTTTATGTGTACCAAATACTCACGCCTTTAATATAATTTTAACACCCTAAACACTACGCACTATTCTTTATTTCAATACAAATTACACTGTAGGGAATATCTTGAGTTTAGAAATGACACAAAAACGCCGAAACAAGTAACTTAATATTGGACCACAGATAACGGATCTGTATACCGTTATTTATATATTTATATATAAATTTATATATTTTCCAAGATATTTTGATTTTTATGAAAAAATTCAATTTTAACAATTAAAACAATGAAGCGATGAAATGGGCAGGAAATAATGTTACTCATACGCCCATGTAGTACAATACATGACCGTACTCGAATATATGAGCAAATCTCACGAGTTGTTCTTTTTTCAGTGTCACTTCTTTCTCTCGCCAGAATAAAAAACGCTAAAGCATTCTTCTTGCATATATTTAAATCAGTGTTTTTTCAGAAAAAAGAAAAATAAAAAATAAATCAAGTATTTAAAAAAGTTCAGCCTTAAAACGTTTTTTAGGCGAAAAAGTATCAAAATTACAAATTTTTTCATTGTCATTCGTAAAAACCATAATCATGCTTTTTTTTAAATAACTTATGTAGAAAATTTTGCAAATAGAATGTTCATATTAGAGGCAATGAATGTTGGCATCATATACAACATTCCTGTGAAGCTTCAAGAGTGTGGCCCCCAATTACATATAGGAGGTAATAAGGTATGTATCAACATATGGGTGTCAGACAAAAGCGTTAAGAAGGTAGTATTGTAAAATACTTAAAATTCAGTGCGTGCCTTCTCTTTTGCCCTAGTGCGATTTTTGATTGGATGAAATGAGAAGGCACGCCTCTGTTGCACACTTTCGCCACAATTATAACGAGTTGTCCCTTCTTGTTATCTACGTTCTTTGATCCAACCATGTGCAAAACTTTTTCCAGCTTGAATTTGCAACTTCTCTCCAAGAACTAGTCTTTCTACTTGTGATTTATTTAAATAAAACATGTAAGATTTAGTTGAAGCTGTTAAGCCGTTTTTAGCCGGTTTTTTTTTGCCAATTTAGCCGGTTGGTCCAAAAAGTTCTGGCAACACTGATGAGCACGAGTTGTTATTTTTTATTTTTATTTTTAGTTTATCTTTTTTAAGTTTTCATTTAAATACAATTTCGCGATGGAATCTTGTTCTTTACACAAAACGGAAGATGAAACACCGTTTTGTCGAAAAATGTAACAACTCGTTAGATTTTTTCATATACTCGGAGGTACATGGCGTATGAATAACATTCTCGGCTTATTCCAAAATCAATGAATTTTTTTCGCATATTTTAGAAATAAATGCTAAGTTTAGTGCATCTTCAAAAAAAAATAATTTTTTTAATTATAGGGCCTGTGCCACTCTGGATGGACAACGATGAGGTGAATAAAAATTTCCGAGCCGGTAGGACTAGTGGAAAATTTGACGGCAAACTTCATACTTACCTGACGGTTTTGACAAGTTTTTTGTTATAATATACGTAATTGCTAAGACGTCTTGTGCATTATATTACTTTTACCAGTGTTTTGGATATTTTTGAATAAAATTCAATCGATTTTTACACAAGAAAAATTGAAATAATTATTTTTTTAAAATGCATATTTTTAGCATGTTTTTGATATTATTCGTGCATATTTATGTGTATTTTTTATTTTATAGTGCATATTTTAAGCGCTTAAAATCGTGTTTTTACGGCATACATATTTTTGGTTGCACAAGTTATTAAATTGTTTATTTCTATTTTTTAAAGGATAAAAAAATATAGTTGAATGCGATTAATTACTGCTTTCTTCACTTCAATAATCTTTCTTAGTTCCCTGTAGGACGGTAAAGATTGAATATGAAACGCGCACGATAGCCAGAAAGAATTGCATATTCACGGGTTTTAGGCCGCCAGCGGTGAGCTGCAAAAAAAAGTTGTAGTAATTTTTTAAGCGCGAATAAAAGCGTAATAAAACTATGTTGGAGTTTTTAAAAATCTGGCATAATTTGCATATATAATTTTATATATTATACTTCAATTCAATACACCATAAGTAAATACCTCCAGTGGCTTTTGACCAACAGCCATTATCACAACAATGTACTTGCGAAAGTCCTTGCCCCGATCTACCCAATTGCAATTATAAGCGGCGTGAGCTATATTTAAACCCTATGAATCAAAGTAAGCGGATTAAATGTAAACATATACGTAAACATATGTACATACGTATGTATGTGTTAAAATGTGAAATCTCAAGCATAAATAGTATGTACCTCAATGTAAAAGCTATTGGCTAACCAAAAGATAATATATGTTGAGAAAATTACAACAAAAACCAATTGAACATCTGTAATCATAAATGCCAAATTATATTCCTGCAAATATTAAAATGAAACAAAATTAAATTTAGCTCATGGAAAATAAAATAAAATTTGACTTAACCTTGTTTTGAGAATCTACATACACTGCCGGAACAAAGTATTGGCACAGCAAATAATTTTTATTCTAATATTTTTCCGCCAATTTTGTATAAAAATATGATTTGTTCAACAACAAAAAACATAATTACTAAACTTTGTGCAAAATTTGCGAAAATTCAGCAAATTTTCATCAAGATTTTCTAGAATTTCTTTGAGTATGCAGTTTTGCAGCCCATTAAATTCTAATAAAAAAATGAAAGTTCGGAGTTAGTCAACAATCGCGTTGATTTTTGAGAATTTTTTTTTTGTTCCAGATGTTTTGCATTTTTTCCATATAAAGTATTCAAAAAAAAAAAAATTTTGTATGAAAGACTGCGTGAAAAAAAATTGCCAAAAATCAACGGTAATTCGTGGCTACTTAAAACTTGCACTTTATTGTAATAAAATTGATTGGGCTACAAATCTGCATACTCAAAAAAGTCTGACTAAAAAGTTGAAAATTTTCATGAAAATTTGCTGAATTTTCGCGAGTTTTGCACAAAGTTAAGGAATTATATTTTTATGTTTTTTGTTGTAGAATTAACCATATTTTTATACGAAATCAGTGGAAAAATATTAGAATGAAAATTGTTGCATATAATGTGAAAAATTTGCTGTGCCAATACTTTGTTCCGGCAGTGTACGTCTGCGAGGGGTATGCTTTTCAAACTTTGCGCTCTCTCTTTCGCGATATTAGGGTTTAAATCGGTGGTATTTTTATATTAAATTTAGAATATTTCTAAATAAAATGCATTTACATATATAATAAATAAATATTTAAAGACTCCATATGGATGAAAAAATGTTCATAAAACTTTCATTACCATAAACTTAAGGCAAGCAAATCATGGTACGCCTCGCAGACGTATGGTTATCTTCTCAGCAACTTTCAGTATGTAGAGTTATCAAAGCAGGGTTAATACTTTACTACAGCGAATTTGTAGCAATTTTGTATTCCTTACCATATTTGCATAAACGATTATGACGCAAGGTATTATACAAAAAATGCTGACATCTACAAAATTTCCAGCAGAAAATAATACTTCCAAATCCCTGTGAAATCTAGAAAAAGAAATAATAATTTTCTTTTGTTTTATTTTCTAGATTATATCATATATATAAATAGGCAATCATGTTTCCTTTACACCCCTTTTACGGCTAAACTATACTTCTAAGGTATAAACAATTATATATCATTAGAAAGGTATTTTGATGCTGATGTGCAGGCAATTTTTAAAATTTCAAATCAGTTTAAAATAGAGCGAAAAAAATCAATTCAAAAGTCACACCAATACCAATGCACACATGTACATGGTTGGGGCGGAAATGCCCCCCCTAAATGTATGCTTTAATATTGATAGCGAATTAAAGAAACGTGCTAAGCAGCAGTTCAGGAATAAAATGTATGTATGTATGTACATGAATAGATTAGACTCAAACAAGGAAGAAGGTAAAGTTGAGTATGGAGAAGAAGAAAGTGATAAATACAGAAATTAAAATAAAAGTAAAGAAACCCAAATAACTATAAAGACAAAGAGGAAGAAAATTTAAATACCTAACCTAATAACAATGGTGGGGGTGAATATGTAAATGAAGAAAAGAATGGACATATTTAGACCAGGATAAAGGAAAGGATAAAGATGAAGACCAAGACGAGGAAGATGAAGATGAAGATGAAGATGAAGGTGAAGATGAAGATGAAGATGAAGATGAAGATGAAGATGAAGATGAAG